GGCAAAATACCCACCAAAAAAGGCAGAATGTTACACACAGGGCTCTCCGCCACTGCAGAACCAAAATGTATGGTTCTCACAGATCAGGAAACAAATGAGAAACAAATTGCTGAAAGGAGACGGAAACAAATTTCCTAGTGGAAAGGATGAATAAAATAAAACAGATTTTTTTTTAACAGACTATTAAATACACAGACGGCTCATGATCAGAACAGGGGTTACCACACTGAAACATTGGGGCGAGGTGATTCCCCACTTCAATCCACAAGCCACCACTTCTTAAGCTCAACAGTATAGTAGTGGATGGCTGATTTCTCTCCCCCCCCCTCCGCCTGACCTTCCTGCAGCCCTTCCTGCCACCAATCAGCTAGTGAAGGGTTTCTCAGCACTCCAGAGCAGGTTTTGAAGGGATGTGCAGGAGGTCATGAGGTGGAATCCCCCCGCTGGACCTGCTGAAGAAAGTAATTCTGCCAATAGAATGGGAATGTTGGATTCTACCCACAGTGTGGCAAATTATGTCAAATATATAGTTCAGGATGTCTGAGTTAAACTCATTGCAATAACTGGTTGTAAATAAGCCCTAACAATGCCTACTGATAAAAAAAGGCTTCAGCTTCCACTGTGTCAGGGTGATGGTAGGAAAGAAAACAACTGGGCTAAGGCACCCTCAGTATAACACAGATGCCGGAAATGCACAGGTCCAAGTAGCACAGTTTTAGTTATACATGGATTTCCCACCACCAATAAATAAATAAATCTTCCAATAAGTCTGTATTGGCTGGCGTATAAGATGACTGGGCGTATAAGATGACCCCCCCCACTCAAAATATAGAGTGGACGTCTCTGCTGCTGTGCCAGCGGCGGCTCCCCGGGGCTCTGCCTGGGCCCGCCCTGGAAGTTCATGACCGGCGACGAGGCCCAAGGAGGGCAAGGAGGAGGGGAAGCAGCTGGGTGGGCGGTGGCAGCAGAGGAGGAGGGGAAGTGGCTATCCAGTGGCGGGCAGGTGAGTGGGCAGCTGGCTCAGTGGTGGTGAGGAGGGGAAGCAGCTGGGCAGGCGGCGGCAGCAGAGGAGGAGGAGGGGAAGCAGCTGTCCGGTGGCAGGCTCTGGCCGCTCAGGCATGGCCGGCTCTGCTTCCCTCCCTCCATCTGGACCGACCGCCTGCCTGCCCTCCTCCCCGGCCGGTGCGGCCCCGCGTCACTCACTCAACAGCGGCCCCTTCCTGGCCCAAATGAAGTGCACCCGGCGTATAAGACGAAACCCCCCCCCCATTTGGAGGCATGTTGTTTGGGCCAAAAAAGTCATCTTATACGCCGGCAAATACGGTATGCAATAAATACTGTGTCCCTGGCCATATTCAATCCCATGAGTTTAATACCAAAGACATAAAAGTAACCTACTTGCCCCAGAACACAATTTGTTTAACTTAGCCTCTAGATCAGGGCATAAAAAAGACTTTCAAGGCTCATTATATACGGTACTGTATGGAAATGGTTGTCAAAGCTATGGAAGAGAACCCCAATAGAGAGAACTGTTCTCTGTGTGCATGTGTGATAATCAACTCTTTATGCTTTGAAGTTACATTTTAGAGGGCATAAGAGTGATACATTGATTCTGAAGTACACATGGGGCTGGCAATAGAGTGGAAAGATTCAAGCTTCAGTGTCTGGTAATGTAATCAGAAGAATGGTCAAACCAGTTTCCTCACTTATAATTGTCCCAAGAAAGATGAACAGATGAGGGACACCAGAGCTACAGAGAGAATTTGTGGGATTTCCCCCCTTTTGATACATTTATTTATAAATTCTCTAATACAAATTTGAGCATATGTTAGATCTACTGAAGATCTCTGGACGATTTGCAGTAAATTAATCAATATTTCTGACTCACGATTATTTAAGAACAGCTGCAGCAAAATGATCTCTTAATTATACTGCTGAAATGAAATAAGGCTGCAGCAACCAGGAGTGAATTATGACCTCCATTTAGTTCTGGTAAAAAAAAACCAACACACTTCTGGGTTCAGAATCACTAAATTTCAAATGAGTGCCTTTCACATGAGGCTTTCTTTAGTTGGTAGATCTTAGGTGTCTGATAAAAAAAGAAAAAAAAACGAGCACTCTGGATTCTGCCCACCCCTGCTTGAATTAACAGCATGCATTATTGCTTTATGGGTTTGTGATAAGCTGAAATCATCCCATTATTATAGAACTGCAGAGCTAGAAGAGAGCCTATGGATCACCAAGTCCATCAAGAGTACACTCACTGAATACAAGCAATTAATTATTTTAGGTCTTTATTTAAAATATCCTACCTATCCTGAACTAAGAACTAAAAAATGTAATTTTACTATTATTGTTTCAAATGTGGAATCTTATGCTAAATCCTTAAACTAATGAGACAAATGTGTCAGATACAATGAATGAATTTACTGAATGAAAATATCTTACTAATCTCTCACCCTATAACCTTCTTGTTCTGTGCTCTTCTCTCTCAACAGCAAGTCCTCAATTCAGGAGGAGTATGTTCTAAAGCTAAAAGATGAGCACTCCCCCAACTAAAGAAAACCCTTTTAAAGTCTCCTATGATCCGAAGAGAAAAGGAAGCTGCTTTCCAATAAGCTTAAAACATGGCAATGGGCTTATCCTTTCTGTTTCCTGCCCTTTCTTTGCACACATAAAATGTCCAGGTTATACTGTACATCCGAACAGACAAAAAGATGAGAAAGAAGTATCTCACCATTGTACACACAATCATCACAAAGGATAAAAGCAGATTCAAAACAGAAAAAAAAAATTACATTAGATTCAGTGATAGTATTTTTACAGTTGGAAACAAGAGGCCCAAAGATACCAGAAATTTCCAGAACCAGGAAATCTGATTCACAATATACTGCACTGAACGCTGTACTTGGGATGGGGGTAGAGGGAGCACAGTGTTGCTAGATCCGCAGAGAGTGGCTTTCCAGCTGTTTCTTCAGCATAGCAGTTCTTATTCACATTTGTACTGGACTTAGTAAAGAAGGAAATACAGATTACATGTCACCTACTTACAGGCATTATATCCCCAAGTGCTAATTCAGAATTCACTTATTTTTCCACAACGTTTTGCTTCACTGAGTTAATATAATAGCAAAGAGAGTAAGTGGATGGTGGGAACAGCGAGACGTGCATATGACAGATGATAGGTAAAGAGTTGGAAAGAGGACAGTTGTAATGAGTGACACGTTCTGCAAGTTGCACAGGACCTCTGAAGCCCCATTTCTGTGAGTGAAGAATGGAAGCTTCCTTTTCGGAGCCTACAGAAGACATTGCTCATGCAAAAACTATATGTGCTTTTTCATGCAACCATGAGGACTAGAAAAAGAGATCTCATTAAAAAAAAATAAAGTTGTGATTTTTAGAAAGCACAATGTTATTTTAGGTTATGTAGGTTGGAAGAAGGCAGGGAGTGTCACCATAAATTAACATGTTCATGGTGCTAGCCCTATAACACATTACAGGGCTAGGGTTATGCCCCATAAATCCTTTTAAATTATGCTGTAGAGCATGCACATATGTTAATTTATGGTGCTTTGAACAAACAATGACACTGGTCCACAAAACTATTCAGACAAGTGTATTATATATATTTTTGGAGTGATATGAAATATATCATTATAGATATGTATTACAGATAGATAGATATCACAGTTAACATGGCAGAGGGAAACTAACAGTGGCCAAAATCTTGTTGACATAAATTTATAAGCCAGAAGCTTCTTATTTCCCTGGTTTAGGTTCCCAGGTTTTCTCGGGCTCATTTTGTGCCCCGGGGAAACCTTTAGAAGCCTCAGGACAGGATGGGAAAGCCTTTAATCACTAAACAAAAAAACAAACCACGCCAGATTGCCACAGGCGGTCCCAATCCTGCTAGTGGCAATTTGACAGTGATTTTTTAGCAATTAAAGGTTCCCCTATCCTGTGGCTCTCAAAGCCTCCTGCGGAGCAAAAGGGAACCTCTGGAGTTTCATAACCTGAAATGTGTGTGTGAGAGAGGGAGTTAGGAAAGTTTTAATTAATTTAAATTAGACGTCACTGGTCTCACCTAGTTAAGGTGCATACAGTACCTTTATGCAGCAGGATTTTGCGTAGTGGCTCTCACATTCAACCATTTGAATTTTGTTATAATTTGGTGATGGCTTTTTTGGCCACTTAATATTGAACTGCACGGCATTGTGAAAACACACTGATCGTCTTATGGGTTTTGAGGAGGCAAATGCGAGGAAGAAAAAGATGGCTAGGTGAGCATGAGACAAATGTGTATACCAGGGTGGGTGAGCTCCAGACATCAGGGGCCACGTGCTCGTTCCTTGCAGGGCCATGTCTCTCCCTGTGATCCTACCCTTACCTCAAATTTCTGTTCCAATTTTTGAAACTGAAAAGGTCTCTTGTGCTTCTAACAGCTAATTGTGTGTGTGTGTGTGTGTTTATTTAAAATAAAACCATTTGGAGGGGCACGGGGGTCCTAAACGTACTAAAGCATCTTTAAAACATGGCAAAATTGCCCCACACTCCCCTGAAGGTAGAAGCCAATGTTTTTTAAAAAAGATTTTTTTCAGATGTGTGAGGGAGCGTGCCAGTGTTTGGGCACTTGGAGCTACAAGCAGCCCATGGCCCTGTACCTATATAGATATGAATCAGAGCTGCAAAGTGCTGCTCCACCAGTCACATTAACAACGTAATTAATGACACAGTCTTGTGGGAACAAAGGCTACTTTTCTTCAAAAACCACCCATAACCAACAACAGCATACCTACAGAAACCAAAGCAGAAGAACAGTACTGCACAAATATATTCTCCATACTATGACCAAAGCTTTAGAATTGCCCTGAAGTCTGCCATTGCCCTCCAAGGCTGGCATAACTCAGAGCAACACAAAAGCTCATAGTAATCCAAATCCATGGGTGAGGGCAGGCTGGGAAGAGAAAGTTAAAAAAAGAGAGAGAGAATGTATACTTTACCATCCCCTGGGATAATGCGCAGAGTAACCATATTTCCTGCTTCTTTAATTAGGTTGACGATGTCCGAATGGGATTTGTTGGTGATGGAGCATCCATTAACGGCCAGTATCCGGTCCCCCACTTTCAGCTTCCCGCAGCGATCCGCTGGGCTCCCCTCAATAATCCGACCTATTTTGTGAGGCATGGCCACACATGCATTGCCTGCTTTTGTATTGACATTGGGTTTTGTTTTGTTTGTGCGTGTGCAATTTTTTTTTAAAAAAATTGTTTATATACGTTGGGAACACGGTGAAGGGGGAAAGGAAAAAAAGGGTTGAAAGGGGAAAGAGAAGGTTAAGGGTTAATTAATTAATGCATCAAGCAAAAGTTATTAAAGGATAGTTTGCTGCCACTGTTCAAAGCATTGGCAATTGAGTTTGTGAGTGCAAATTAGAACCTACAAACCTGCATCTCCTGTATCTTCATTTGGCAATCCCTTCTCTTTACACACACACCCAAACGCACACACACTTTCTCCTATTAATACGTCTGAAAACTGCACAGCTTCCTTTGATGGGCTGCAGCTGTGCTCAGCAGTTCCCAATACAAAATCACTGAGGATTTGCGTTGTAAACTTGAAACTGCTGGAAGGGAGAGCAATCCTTCTTTTCTTTCTTTACCTTATAACATCTCATCTTGGTCTCAGCCAGTAGCTATTAATGCTTCTGCCAATGTTTTGTTCTTTCTCCATTTTGAAAGATAATAATTCTATAGCTACAGAGGAATAAGAGTTCTATTTGAATTTCTTGAACACACAGTGATCCATCCTATAAAATGAACACGACATGGGTAAAAGCAGTAGGGAATGGGGTTTATTTTCCACAATGGGCAAAGGAACTATTTGAGGCAAAGAACAGAGATACTAAAATGGGATAAGACTGTAGGATATGGTCTCCTAGAGCCATTCAGTTCTAAACTATTTGACGACTTCTCGAAGGCTTTCACAGCCGGGATCCAATCTGTCTGCGTTCTGGTGTTAGAACACAGACAGAGTTCTAACTCCTGTCCTCTGAAGATGCCGGCCACAAAGACTGGAGAAACGTTAGGAAGAAAAACCTCCAGAACATGGCCAAACAGCCTGAAAAACCTACAACAACTATTTGACAACTCTTTCCTTTTTGTAATCTCAGTCGAAACAGATAGGAAGTCCCAAAGATTTCTCCCTTCCTATGACCGCCAAAATAACTTTTAAGTTACAAGCCAAGAACCTACATACATTTTTGCCAAGTTATCATTGGCTTTCAAAGTCTACAGTCCATATATGTGAGTTTAAAAATAGAAGCAGAAGCCAGGAACCTGTTGGTCCTTCAGAAGAACTGAGGCACAGGTCTGGGGAGGAAGGAAAACAGAAGAAAGTGGAAGCATGCTTGTGCAACATTGGATTCTTGACATTAAGAGGAGAGTAGCAAGTGATCTGCAATGAATGAACTTATTTCCTGGCAATGAATAAACTTATTTCCTTACCAATCTGCTTCTGTTACAGATTACAGTACTTGGATTGTTTACAGATCTAGACTAGAGATGGGGATGACTCACCATTTTGGCGAATCGTCCTGCTTTTTGTGAGTTGTCAAAAGTTGACGACTCATGAAGCATGAAGTTGCTCTCATGAAGCGACAAATAATGAAGTTATTTGTCAATTCATGGGGGGTTATTAAAAAACACCCCCGCCGCTGCACCCCTACCACTGTCACCCCCCACTGCTACACCACCACTGCCCCCTCCACCACCGCTGATACCCCCTTACTATAATCGCCGCTGCTGCCACTGAGGTCTCCATGTGGCCTCCGCAGCCACAACATGTAAAAAGGGAGACTGCTCTTTCCCTACCCTAAATGAAGCCGCAGCTGCTATCTTTGCAAAAGGCAGCCAGTCTCCCTTTTTACACGCCATGGCTGCAGGGGGCAGATAGATACCTCAGTGGCAGCGGTGATTATGGTAAATGGCTGTTGGTGGGGGTGGGAGGGACTAAGGTAGGGAGAGGACAGGGGTGGGGGTAATATGTAGGGATGTGCTGGCTGTGGGGGTGAATGGTTTAAAAATTTTTAAAAACAAAAGACGAATAAAAAGGGGGAAATATTCATCAATCTGTATTTGTCAGGACTTAAAATTTGATGATACGGATTGAGAAATATTTAACAAATTGGCTATTTTAATCAAAAAAGCTGATCTGTTTTTATATTCGTCCCCATCTCTAATCTAGACTTCAGCTAAAGTCTCTGGTCAGTCATAGCATTCCTGGTTAAACTTAGTTAAAAAGGAGTACCCAGCACAGTCCCCTTCATTGTCACTTGATTCACACAATGATGGAGGAAATTGATGAGAATAGGTTCCTGCTTATGAAAAGACTCTACATGTGAGGCAAAATCTATGAAGAACAAAGCAATCACAGGGAGTGGGGCTAGGTGCTCCTCTCTAACCAGGCCGATGAAACTGAGAGTTCTAATGTCTACAAATGGCTTCAAACTGATCAGTGTTCATGTGATACAGTGGTGAAATCGGAATATTACAGATCTTTAAAGTTACATGTCCCTCTCTTGCAGAAAACAATTAGTTGATATGCAGTAGTAAGGTGTAACTAGAGTAGACCCCTTGAATCAACAGCCCTTACAGAGTTGACTTACCAAATACCCAGCTATTCAATGGGCCTACTCTAATTGCAACTTTCCACTAAATTTCAGCCAACAGGTATGATTTAGTCTAGCTTAAAGCATGTTCTAAGTAGTTCCCACTAAATTCTAAAATCAGTGCCAACATTTTCCTAATGAAATCCACAAATTTTAAACATTTTCTACTTTTGCCTGTCAAACATTTGTCATTGTTCCATTGAACTTAATTATAACAATAGGTATCCCATTCTCTCTTCTCTCATCACGGTTAACTGAAGACAGAAACATCCTGTGTGGCCATGAAGAAGTAGGATCTGGGTCAAAGTCTTCTATTTTTAGTTAATTGTGTGTTTACACAATGTCTGACCTACATAATGATTTTTTTGACAAGCTAGAATCAATGGGACACGATGGTGTCACACTTTTTGTTTCATTCCATTGTTCTATAAATGCACAGAAAATGGGCAAAATCCAATGCTACATGAGCAGACTTCCAGTTGTACGAAAGGTGTTTTCTTTCCTCCCCTTTTGACTTCCAACAAAATTCTGGCCCTTTATTTTAGCTCTGCTCCTTGACAAAGGCCATATTTAAAATCCATTGACATCACTTAGCTTTCTTTACACTTAGCTTCTACACCAAGTTAGACTCCTCTGAGAACTGTCCACAAATTACATTTAGAAGCAAACACGACAGAACCAGTGGCTTCTATCTTTGGATAGAAATATAACATTAATCCATTATACATTTCTGATGTGCATTTTTAAGTAGTTTTAGAAATATGCCTATACAGTGTAGAACCTAAAATCTCACAATTAAGGATGAGTTAAATGGCAATATCAGCAATTGCCTATTCAGCATTATCAGGCAATGTGACTGACAAAATGGTTATCATAAAAAATATAATGGTGAGCATGACCTACCCCTACAATTAACAACCAATTCATATGAGAAGGACTTTTTTTTGTTAATTCTATAAAGAACCAACTGATCATAATACTACCCTTTCTGTTGAAAAGAGGGAGTCAGTTTTGAACTACTTTTGGCCATCTGAGCAGACTACCTACATAAAAATACAAAAACTCCTATAGGAGTGAGGCAAGCTGAGGAAAAGCATCTCATGCAGAATATGAGGGAGAAATGTTTTCATGGGAGCAGGGGGGGGTAGGGGAAAACTCAAAATCAAGATTTTATGTTATCCCCATATTTCTACCAAGAAGCAATTACTCTTTCAAGCTACTTTCAAAAATGAATACAGTCACCACTAATATTCAAACTGAATTGGACAGGCAAAGCCACTACACCACAATTGACATGGTTATCTGATTTCAAACAGGAATTAATTCTTCCAGGGATAAATGTCAGCTGTGATGGGCTACAAACTACTTATAAAGGGTGTTATAAGTCTTAAAGCACTCTGAGGACTTTGTTCAAGTGTCAGCATTAGTGCCACCCCCTCTCATTAAGCTATATATGAATACTATATAGGCATCCATGTGGTAAACTATCAATGAAGGAATATCCTCTTTACAGTAATCCTTCCATGTCAAAGAATTATCAGGTGGGTCTTGATCAGTTTAGCAGCTGCACTTGTCTCTTCAGATCTAATGATAGTTTCCTAGTAACCACTGCAGAGGCTACTAGAAGACTGAACGGCTGACATGTGTAATCCCAAATACCCTTTGTTTTGCTCTACAGATACAGAGATACAAGCTCCAAAATCTGGTTACTTACAGTAATAAATCACAACTAGAGTAGGCCCATTTGTATCAATGAAATTTATGGAGAAGTTGACTAACCAAATCCCCACTAATTTAATTGGTGTACTCAGTATGCTTTACTATGCTAAGTAACAGGATTTCAGTCAGTATTTTCACCTCCTGGCCATTCAGCAAAAGTAATTCAGAAATGCCTAATAATTAACAGTAATGTTATCTAAGTGGGAAAGAACTTGAAATAGGATACTGCAATTGCCTCTTAACCATTATAGGGTAAGCAAAGCAATGAAATAGGTGATTGTTTAAAGACTAAAAGAAATGTCAGATAGCTCAGAAGTACCCCCCCAACTCAATATTTAGAATGAGCTAGTTAAGCTCAAGTTCTTTATTTATATTTAGGTTTAAGGCCATATTTTAATATCCTCTCCATAATACTATTTTTCCTGCAGGAATGTTTTATTTATTGTAAGATAAACTCATCCTGCAACAAATCACAAATTGATACTCAAATTAATTTAGATTTAATTTTGTTTAAGATGAAGAGATCAATTCTGAATGAATAGGGTCTGCAACATACATCATATCTATAAATCCCTGGATGAAAGGTCGAGACTCAGACTTGATGTTATGAAAAAGTAGCCACGGACAAAGCACTTACCCATGCAATACTTCCACATGGATAGTGTCATGTTTTACAAATTATCTACTTCATGCACTGGCATCGTATAACCCTCAATATCATTGCCAGCACAGAACCACTGGAGATACAGATTGCCAGCATAAAAAATATGTATGTGCATATGCTGGTGAGTAGGCTAAGAACTTCTCAAATGCAATATTGGCCAGATGGCTAGCGAGCACTAAAAATGTTAAATTGGGACAAACCAGAGCCACTCCATATCTGGACCCCCATTATAATCCCATTGGTTGCCAGAGCTTGAACTAAATGGCACTTTTCAAATCCTTAGAGAGGCCATAATACAGAAGCCAGCAGAGAGACTGAAAAGGGCCTATAAAGGGGACACAAATAGAATTTAGGTCTAGTATTCCTGTGGTTGCTAAATATAATCCAGTGGTCTCTCTCCTTGCCCATGTGTACATCCATGTGTTTTCCCAATGCAATCTTCTAGTATACTAATTCACCCCAAAGGTCCATTCAATTGATACAAAAGGGGATGCATTTTATTTTATTTTATTAATCTGAATAATTCAACATGTGCATTACATAAAATAGCCTTTGTTCTTTAAATCCTCCTCTACTACGGCAGGGACATCCATCTGCTGCAGAGGAAGCTTGCTCTAAACAAAGTCTCCCATCTCTGGAGAAAAGCATCTCTCTCTCTCTCTCTCTCTCTCTCTCTCTCACACGCACACACACACACACACACACATGCGTTTAGAGAGAGAGAGAGAAGGAGAGGAAGAAAGAGAGCCGAAGAGAAAGAGACATAATTCAACTGTGAACAAAGTTAGAAGGCAAGTCCAATGCTTGACTTTCTAGTTAAGCATATTAATTAAATTAAACAGGCAATATTCAGGAAATGTAATTACTATACATAATGTGTAATTCCTATTCTCACTATATGAACTGTATATGTACCAACTCAGACGCCTCTCACAGATATTGCTGTAAACCAAGGGTAGCTACGTTAGCCTCGTATCAGAAGGAGAGGGTTGATGCAAGATTGCCAATAAGGGACAAAATGTAGAAATGTTGAACCTATTCCCCAAATTAATGGAATATTTAATTAAACCCACAATGAATTATCTGGTTCCTTAATATTAACAATTATGCACTTTTAAGTTGATTCTGATTTATGACAATCCTTTCCGGGGTTTTCAAGGTACAGATTACTCAGAAGTGGTTTGCCATTCCATTCTTCTGAGACTGTGCAGCTTGCCTGAGGCAACATTGGCTGGCTCTTCTCCCCAGGAGAAGAGTTCCCAACCTCTAGTTCTGCAGCCAAGTATCCAACTCACTGGGCTATCCAGCCAATTTAGGAAAGCAAAACATGGCCAAGAAGAAGCAAAACAAAGGATGGGCAGAATGCAGTCCTTCAGAGGTTGCTGGACTGCATCTCGCAGCATCCCTCGTTACTGACTCCGCTGGTTAAGACTCTCTAGATGCAGTTCAACAGAATCTAGAGAGCCACACTTTGTCCACCCCTAACCCTAAACAAAACAAAAGAGTCAAATCAATACTTAAGAGAAAAATATTCATGACTTACCAAAAGTTGTTCCAGCTTCTGGCCGACTAACTGAAGACACAATGACAAAGCCAAAGCCTTCATTTTCTCCCCGCCGTATTTCTACATCGTACGGCTGCACTACAGTGCTGACTACTCCACTGCCACCACCTCCTCCACTACCAATTCCACTGGTGCTGCCGCTGCCTGAACTGACTGTGTTGAGCGAGTTCTGGCTGCCCTGGGGAGTGCGTTTCTCCTCCGTCAGAGAAGCAGGCTGGTTACTGCTGTGATGAGATGAGGCTGGAGAAGGAACTTCGTTCTCTGCTTTTGGAACTGTTTGAGAAAGATGTAATTCTCTGTTAAGAGCCTTCGAACAACCCCATGCTTTAAATGTTATCACAGAAACAAGGAAAGTTATTAACATGACTATATTTATGTCGACTCATAATTACAAAATCCACGGTCTGTATCCTATAAATTGGCCTTGGCCAACCTGAATCCATTCTGTTGGTCTGGACTGCATTTCCCATAAGCTTCAACAATTACGATTAATAGTCAGGGATCAAGGGAGCTGCAGTCAAAATATAAGAAGAGGTCTAGATGTTTGGGTTGTGGTGCAATATCCTCCAAAAGACTTCTACTCCTTCTCTTTAGATCATCTAAGGCTTCCTTGCTATACATCTTGCATTTTCTTGGGTTAGAGTTTGGAGCAGAGCCTCTTCAGTGGTGGCACCCAACATGCAGAATGCTCTCCCAAAGAAATACTTCTTCTGGAGAATTCTTTCTCTCAATCCTAGCATAAGATTAAGATCTATCTAGTCACTTTCGCTTTTCTTATGAGTACATATACATAAGCAGGAAACTTCACGCCTGCTTGCCCCTGCTAACAAATCTTTCCCGTAGAAACACACATATATCATTTTGTATTCCACCATAATATTTTTAAGTAAATACTTTTATTCAGAGGAATCATGTTGATGACAGCTCTAAATAGAGAGAAACAATCCTTCCAATAGGTCCAATGGGAAAACAAGGGGCATATATTTTGAAAACATATTTGTCCCCTTTCAGTCTCTGCTCTAAATGGATATAACTGAAGTCCCAGCATACTTTGTTTAAACAAACTAAATGAAGAGTATTGATTGTGCTATCTCATATATACATGCCTATTCTTTCTAAAGCATTTCTTTATTTATGGTTTAGCACTACAGCATTTAACTAGTTAAGCAAGAATTCTCAACCAGCACACTTGCTGCCCTTATGGTTTATCACTGCAAAATACAGTCAAATTTTCAATCAAGTCCATATCAGATATGGAGACAAGCAATGAGCTATTTATATATTAGAGACCATCTCTGAAGCATCCTCTGGAAGCAGATTGCTGGACTAATCAAACTTGGTCAGATCTAGCACAGCAGTTTTCAGGGCAGAACCCTCCAAGTTAAATATTACCAATCTGTTAACACTGCTGTCTAATATAATACGCTCCTTTGCACTGCATAGTGACTATCCTCAGGTTGGTACATTTCACGGGATTTCTTATTCAAGTTAAATTAGAGGATATATATATTTAAAGTAAATGAAGAAACTCAAGATATAGCTTAGAACAGTGGTCCCCAACCTTGGGCCTCCAGATGTTCTTGGACGACAGCTCTCAGAAGCCTTCACCACCACCTCTGCTGGCAAGGATTTCTGGAAGTTGAAGTCTAAGTACATCTGGAGGCCTAAGGTTGGGGACCACTGTCTTAGAAGATAGCAGCATATTCCTTCTAATGAGCAAAAGTCAAACTCTCAGCCAGAAAGCTTTAAAAGCATTCAGCTATATTTATTCCATGTCTGAGAAGCTTCAGCAACAAAAAAAAGTGATGATGAAAAACAAAACACAAAAATGAAACTGTGTACTGCTATTTTTGCAAGAACAGAGGCTTTTGATCTTTAGAAAGTAGTTCACTTTTATCCAGTGATAGAGTAAAAATAAAACATGCTCACAGTCACATTGCAACCTACCTGTGTACACTACTTTACGCCTGACAGTTAAATTCACATGGCCTTGCTTAGCAGCCTGTTGCATAAGCTGGACTACAAGCTGGTGAGATTTCCCAACAACAGGTGTTCCATCTACACAGATTAATTCGTCTCCAGATCGCAGGCGACCATCTGCATCTGCAGCACCCAGTGGCACAATGTGACCAATGTAAATCTGTGAAAAACATGCCCATGTGTGTGAGAATTTTTTAGAGCTTCAGAGTAGTCTAGTCGTAACTTGCACCACACAAATCAGGATGGTGTCTTTCAGATGTTTTAGACTACAGCTCCCATAATCCCTGATCGTCGGCTATGATGGCTGATATTTGTAGGATCTGTAGCCTTAAAACACCTGGAGGACGCCAATTTGTCTATTCCCCAATCCATACTCAAATACCTTCTATCCAACTGGACTATGCAATTCACTGTCATGTAAATTTAGCAGTTCTCCTAGTGGGTTATGCCTCATACCTTAAAAGGGCAAAGAAAGGATTCAGTGATGGAGATCTACAGGATGGGTACTAGTGAGCCAAGTTACATAAAAATGAAGGCAGAAAGTTCCGACATTTCACATCTACAGCAAACATGACTTCCCTGTCTCAGACAACTAATCTTTGAACATGGAAATAAACAAACATACTTTGAGCTTCTCCAACAGAATGCTGGAGCATAAGAATAAGCATTCCCGTAGCATAAATATAGCTAAATTTTAATACGGAGCGAAGACTCATATGTATTCTCTTGCAGAACATGACATGTTCAGTGGCAATACTTGTAGAAGCCACATGATCCCACATTAGTATATTGTCAGGACTTTTCATGTACGAATTAAAGATGGGCATGAACTGCTAGGTCAGCGGTTTGTCTTGGTTCATTTTCTCCTGCAACAGGTGTTTGGCAGTTAAATGCCCTACCCCTTCTAGTAGGCGCCCACTTGGAAGCAGTGTCCCAGTTTCCCTGCCCTGCCTCCTCTATGTACTGCTTCTGAGTGGGTGCCCACTGGACGGGGCAGGGCACCAAACACCTCTTGTGTTTGGTTAAACTGCTGAACTGGTGGTTTATGCCCATCTGTAATAAGAATAATTTTTTTTCTGCACATGCATTTTAAATGGTCATCTTTTCATCTGACCACATAGCTTTCATTCCTTTCTATTGTATAGAATTTATGTTAATATTTTGTTTTTAATACTGTGAGGTGCACTGACTAACTAGATGGAGACCTTTCGATTTCTTTTCTTTTACTCATAGTTCTGTCCTTCTTTCTCTGTTTAACTTCATTTTAAAAAAATTTCCTGTGGAATTCTGCTGAATGAATTTGTTCTTATACAGCTCAGGGACTGTAATGAGAACAGAAGCCTTGGCTCGAGTTTGACCTACATCAACTGCAGACCAGAGTTACTAACATCTGTTTGATGTTCTGGTCAATAAGTACTACAAAACAGCTCAAGGGGCTAAACCCGTTGCTGGTAGAAATGGGCATCTCACATGTGAATGAGGAACAGCACTCTCACTAACCAGTTATTTATAACACAGCTGAGTACTTTCTTTTGGTTGCTACCTTATCCAGTAGTGTCAAGTGAGATGTAGGCATATATGCTAGTAAATGTGATTCTAGTTTAGAGACAACAGATTAAAGAAGTTGGAAATTTTCTATCAACTTACAGGCTCTCCAGGCTCATTTCCACCAAGAATTCTAAATCCAAACCCAGTTTCTTTTCTCCACAGAAAGATATCCTGTTCTTGGTAATCTGGAACTACAAGAAAATATTACAAACTCGTTATTTAATAATAACTGGATACCCAACTTTGGAGTTTCTTGAACTCAGTTTTATAAAAGAAATGTATACATGATGAAATCTCTTCTTTTAGGCAGTGATTACAATTCCTATGAATCATACTACTCATTTTACAAATGAGTAAACATGTGTGCATCTATCTATGTTATATTAATTTTAAAAAGCAGCGATCTCTGCAGCCTTCTAGAAGACCATATCCTGGACAGACTGGGACAACCCTGAAACACTTGCATTTGTTCTTTGGAAGAATTATACACCATGTCCAGCTGTACAGGACTGCAGGTTAAACAAACCTGGGGCTTAATTATAGATTTAGACCCACTCAAAGTAGACCCACTGAAATGAATTTCACTTGCTTTATTATTTGTTGCACATACTACCTGTTACTTAGTACCTTAAGAGGTCATGTCAGAAAGATAATGCATTTGTTGCTTTTGGAATAAAGTGGAACAATCATTTGCAGTGCAGTTTCAAAGGAAGATGTGTATATCTCCAAAAGAACTCTATTGCCACTCTATGTATGCCAGAATTTTCAATTCATGAAAGTTCATGACTCATTTCACCTTGGTACAGATCTACTGATGAGGATCGTGGTTCCCATGAAACCTCTCTCTCCTTACAGGCTTTTGAGGTATCTGTATTGTACCATGGCCCTCCTTTCTGGTTCAGGACAAAAACGCACTCTGTATGCATGTATCTGTAGAACTGCACTCTGTATGCACGTATCTGTAGAACTGCAATATTGCTGCACCCTGTAACATTCTCACAAACCTGCAAGGTATTGCTGAAATTCCTAGCATATCTGCATGTCTTTTACCATGGGACTTTGAGATAAGAATTGGGCTAAAACATGAAAAATATGTAGTATCTTAATATCTGTACAAAAGGCAGATCCACATAGGTTGAAGAGTATTGAAGAAAACTGAACTTTGTGAAGAAACAAATTTGACAATCTTCTGCACCCACGATTTCACCATCATCTTGTATTCTATATTTTAAACTTTTGCTAATGACCTTCAATGAAACTTAGCACCTCAAATTGAATTTTAGGATTTTGTTATCCTAACAGATTTAGAAGAATCTGCATTAGGCATGATTTTTATTTTATATGGCTAACAACTGCCAATCAAATGTTTGTCTAATGGTGTAATATTAGAACTCATCAGTGCGAGCATCAGTAATAAATCCAAAACTCTTTTTAGAAGTCTTGAGTAAATAGACTTTTATCATTAGGCAAATGAGGGCCTATGAAACAATATAAATCCATTAGTAACATAGTGTAGTTGATTTTCTTTTCATAACATTAGGAAGAGAACAAACTGAAAGCTCTTTGCTGCAACTGTGATTGAAATAATTAAAATTTGCAGAGCATTTCTCCCTTATTGTCAGTGAATATATTATAAATAAATGTAGTTACTGGGTACAATCCTTAGAAAACCTCTCCTGCACAAGTCAAAATCGATATCTTTCTTCTATGCATCTAAATTTAAGTATTATTTTCACAGAAGAAGCTAATATTTGGTCATTGACCAGAACCAGATATGCTTGGATTCAGGAGCCTTATGTGGTACAGACTACATCCCTAGTCATCTAAGTAATAGTAACAGATGTAGCAGCGGTTCTATGGCAAAGGTCCGCCACCAAATACATTCAGAGCAAAACTTCTATGAGTGTCTGAAATATCTGCCCATAATTCCTTGTCAATACTTTTTTTTTTACTATTGTTTACTGCTGATGTTTTTCTGGCTGCTGCTCCTTTTAACATTGTGTTTCTTTCTTCAGGTTTGCCCTCTCCCAGCACATCAGACAGCAATGAATGAAACAATGCCCTCATGGGGTCCTATAGTCACCAATGCTGTGTGTGGTTAAAGAAGATGAATTCAAAGGGATGGCAATGCTTCCAACTCACTCTTAACTGGCAACTGCTTTTGCCTCTGTTATCTCAACCATACCTATACTTTATCAGAGGGTGTATGAGTGAATTGTGTAGTTGGCAAAATCCTCCCATTTCAGACCAATATAACTGAAACATAAATAGGAAACAGTGATGTAAAGTCACACATACTGGGTTTTTTAGGTCTTCAAGTTGTGGAATGGACTATGCTAATTCATACTCAGTATAAGTTTTGAAATCACAAGAGTTCTGTATTTTTTCAGCAAATAGTGTGCTTTAAAATTATCCTCATAACAACAGGCAAGATACATGTTCACTGAGAGACACTCTCTGGGCTATTTCTTCAATGTAAGTCACTATGGCCTTCTGTCACTGGAACAAATTGACCACTGAAACATCCAGGTAAGTCAACTTAATTACCAATGCTAAAATCACCAAAGCGTAATGGTTCAAACACTATTCCTAAAATACATTTCTTATTTGATGCTTTATGCATTCATAGTTACACCAATTAAATAATATCTGATAACAATTTCAAGCTTATTTAATATTTATTATGTCCCCCTGCTTATTTAACTTATATGCAGAATACATCATGTGAAAGGCCGGACTGGAGGAATCCCAAGTCGGAATTAAGATTGCCGGAAGAAATATCAACAACCTCAGAAATGCAGATGATACCACTCTGATGGCAGAAAGTGAGGAGGAATTAAGGAACCTTGTAATGAGGGTGAAAGAGGAGAGTGCAAAAAATGGTCTGAAGCTCAACATAAAAAAAAAAACTAAGATCATGGCCACTGGTCCCATCACCTCCTGGCAAATAGAAGGGGGAGATATGGAAGCAGTGACAGATTTAACTTTATTGGGCATCATGATCACTGCAGATGGGGACAGCAGCCACGAAATTGAAAGACGTCTGCTTCTTGGGAGGAAAGCGATGAGAAACCTTGATAGCATTTTAAAAAGCAAAGACATCACCTTGCCAACAAAAGTCCGAATAGTCAAAGCTATGGTTTCCCCTGTAGTGATGTACGGAAGTGAGAGCTGGACCATAAAGAAAGCAGACCACCAAAGTATTGATGCTTTTGAATTGTGGTGTTGGAGGAGGCTCTTGAGAGTACCCTGGACTGCAAGGAGAGCAAACCCATCCATTCTAAAGGAAATCAACCCTGAGTGCTCACTGGAAGGACAGATCCTGAAGCTGAGGCTCCAATACTTTGGCCATCTCATGAGAAGAGAAGACTCCCTGGAAAAGACCCTCTGGTTGGGAAAGTGTGAGGGCAAGAGGAGAAGGGGACGACAGAGGACGAGATGGTTGGACAGTGTCATTGAAGCGACCAACATGACTTTGATCCAACTCCAGGAGGCAGTGGAAGACAGGAGGGCCTGGCATGCTCTGGTCCATGGGGTCACGAAGAGTCGGACACGAAAGTCAAACTTTCTCCAAAAAAGTGTAATAGGATAATGAGGAAAGCAAGTTCTTAAACAGACTAAATATCTATAAATATCTACAAGACAACTGTTTTTCTTCCTGCTGCTGTTGTGTTTGAAGCTCCACAAAGACATTCAAAATTCAGTTTTGCAAGCAGAGAAACATATAGGTGTGCTGGAACAGGTGAATGCTTCCTCTGAGGCAATGTCTGCTTCTGAAGAATTCAAAAATCCAGTAGGTAAATACAGGAACATTATGATTTACTTAGTTGAGATGAACACTTGGATATGTCTAACAAGCTAAAATCAACAAAAGGTCTTGCGGCACCTTCAAGCCTAATAAGCCTCATGTGGCACAGGTCTGATGGACTTCAGTCTAATTTTTCAGATGTATGGAGGCAGGCTTTACTAGAGAAACACATACTATATGTCTGGTCACTATGGCTTTACTCCATGCATCTGAGCTGGACATAAGCCCAGAAAAGTTTACGTTAAATCCTGCCTCGAAAGTTCTGTCAGAGAACATGTTCAATGCTGAAGACTCTTCAATCCAGCGAAAGATCAAATAAAGGAACCCAAAACATAGAAGTCAATCCATAGCATGTGCAATTAGATTTCGTGATAATGAACTTTTCTCAATTAGGGAAAAAAAAGACAACAAAAGGGAAGTGCCATGGATAATGATACTCACTCTTCTTCCATACATATGGAAGGGTGAATCAAAGGAAATGTAAGGGGTAATGTCTGCTTTCAAAATCTACATCTTAAAAAGGCTTAGACAAAAGGCTACAATCATCAAAAGGTAGATGAACTTATCAATTAATGTGATCCACCAATAGAATGAAATTGAGGCAATTACACTGCATCAGTTGTCACACAGCTCTGATGACCTAGCACAGTTAATAACTTTGCTCAAAAGTTATTGTGAGAATGTTTTAAGAATTTTAGACAAATTCTCAACACCATTTCAACAGGATCTGTGTCACCTTAAAGTTCACACACATCTCCTTTGTCTCTTTAAAACCAAGAAGAAAACTAATAAAATGTTTATTAAAAAAACACCATGAAATTCTTTAGATGCAGGAATTATCCCAGCAAAGTAGCAGGAAAATGATTCAGATGCATCACGTATCTGGACCATATTCATAGATACCCAGAATTTGTAAACTTCGGTTCAAAACAAGACAGATAGTTTGTTGACTGGGATGCACTACTAAAAACACATATTGCAGTTCTGAAAGAAGTTCAATGAAACTGGTTTCTGAGTGTAGCTCGAAGTACTACCATTTGCCTTTAAAGGCCATGTAGTTGAAGGTAAAAGTAACAGTAGCTTCTGCACTCACACCAACCCACATGTGCAATGTGGTCTCTTCAGGGTGAAGTGTGTGTCTAAGGGTCTCTGAACTGTGAACAGAGGGTGCATTTTTAACAATGGTGTCCCACTTGTGGAATTTCTTCCTCTGTGAAGTCTCTTGACATCAACATTACTGAACATAATGCATGGACAAGGCAAAGTATTTTTTTATTCTCTAGGATTTTAATATATGTTATTAGATTTTAATCTTTCAATATGTTGCTCAATATATTCTACTCATGTGACCGCTTAAATTAGGTTTTACCCATATTTTTGTAAACTACCCTGTGAGCTTCACTGACCTTCATATAATTCTTTCAAATAAAATAAAACAGATATCCTGTATTCTCAATTGAATCCTATGGCACCCTGTAAATGCTTACTGTTCAATACCAGTGTTGCAATCATCCCCCATCAACTGAATTAGCTGGCTCACCAAAGATATGTCTTCATTCTTTATGTTTATGTATGAAAATGTTCATGTAGTGAAAACATGTCTCTGTTGCTGATGTTTTCACATATAAAGTCAAGTTTCTGTACTCTGAATGGAATGTTGGGGGGCAGTAAGTGTAATCAAATCAGCATAAATACAGGTCTTCTAAATGCCACTCATTGTGGATTATAGTATACCAAGAAAGAGTTATATTGTAATTCAGCACTGAGCTCTGTTCAATCTCCATCAAAGGAGCTTTGCCTAAGATTTCTAAGCTACTATCTCTTTTCAGAGTTTCACAGCTGAAGCGTATTTAAACAGGAGTACTAAATGAAAGTGTAAATGAAATTAGCAGAAATGAAACAAGGCAAATACGTGTTTGTTTCTATAATGTTTTCCAGCCACTGATTTGTGTGTATATTTGGTAAGTGCTATCATCCTAATTGACTGGTATTTATTAAGCCAAGGTACTTTTAAAACTCGTGTATTAATGCACTGAGCCATGGCCCCACAATTTTCTAAACACAATTAAAAAATAATAGGGTGATAAATATTATTAAATAGCATAATTGGAATCAGTTGAGCATTAGCTATTTAAAGGCTGTCCGCTGGAAATGGTAACTGCCTTTTATCAACCCAATTTAAACAATGAGAATGCAACTGCACCACCAGCTACAACAGGAGGTGGAATGCATCCTAAATTAATTGCTTTTTGCCATTGCTTTTTGATAACCAATACAAAAGAAAGATAGCACAGGTTCTTTCCCATGCCTCACACTTGGGGTCAAACCAAACCAGTTAAGAATACACAGCTTGTCTAATAAAAGCAAAACAGCTTCTGCTGGACAGCAGCACAGAACTTTCCGCTCCCCCCCAGCATCTTCCAGTGTACCTCCATTATTTAAATTTTCAACAGCACATCCATCAATAGTCAAAGCTTTACTTTCTGAAATGCAAGTCTACTGTATTTGGCTCTACATTGAGTTCAAATGATACATTGTTATACTATCATGCTACCTGTATGATTCAGGTAGAAATAATTAATTACATCTGATGCTGAATAACACTCCCCCTTTGTGGTTCTAATTCATAGGAGAGCAGTTCCTATATAGTAATATAGTAAAGAAGATAGCTTGCTAGTTGCTGATTATGCGATCATCCTCATATCTTTATTCCTAAGAATGAGTTGCTGTAAGGAAAATGACAATTCAAGGTTAAGAGGTTGTCTTGCTGCAGTATGATATTTAGGGTTTTGCATGCTTAGTCACTTACTCTGTTTCTCTTAATGATTCATCCATTGATTTGTGTTTGTTTAATAGGATTTCTTATGGATTGGTCCATGCTATTATTGTTTTACCTCTGCTGTTGTAAATTATAATTTTAATAGTCACTGGCTAGAACATTTAATGATAAGTTTGCTTTGAAACGATGCAATCAAATAGAAACACCAGCATGACCCAAAGCCCTTGCTTCAGCTAGGACTTTATATTAATGCAATACAAGGAAACAAGGAAATGTGTACTACCTCCTTCCTTTCATTAATGCTGACACCAACTAACACTGCATTTTTGGGCGGAGGTATTTTAAGAACATAGGGAAACACAAACACGCACATGCACAACACGGACAAAAGTGAAATAAAACTCTTTTTACAGACTTTTGCATTGATTAGTCCAATTATATGAATAAGCAGCATTAGCATCTGACTCTAGTGCTAGTCACTCAAATCTCACTCCCAGCTGGGACCAGTAGAAATTGTTTCTGTGTGCTTAGAAAGTAATTAGTTGCTCAAAGTGATGATATTTCATAAAACAATAATTGGGAATGTTGCTGCACAACACTGGCCCTCACAATGTATCTTCAGGTATGAGGACTGAAGCTAATATTCGTCCATGTAAAAGCAAGACTTTCGTGAAGCCATTTCTAAACATAGTCTGGTTTCCACATTTATTCTGGTCGTATTTTTTTTTCTAGTAAGACTTAGTTCACATTTTTTGGTTTCATCAAATTGTAAACCATTGTTTGCAGACTGATTAGCACGCTGATTAGCTGGTAAGCATAATAAAGTGCTCAATTCAAACCTACCTAATTAAAACTAAAGCACATTCCATACAGCGCTCTCCTTTTTAAAAAAGAGGCATTGATTTAGTATTATATAGTGACAAAATTTCTTGATTCTGTCCTAATAGTCTTATTTTTTTAAAAAAAAAAGTGTTAATCCCAATGCCTTGAGGGTAATATATGCTCACACATTATTATTAGTTTCCCAAGGACTTCACTGCAAAAGTAATAAAGAGAGTTTCGAATAGCTGATGAGAAAGAATACTATATGGCTTTAGGTAAGGCTTTTTTTAAAAAAAATACTGATCAACATTCAACTAATGTTTGTAGAACAAAGCCAAAACCTTTCTTCTGGCTAGAAGTTTTCCAATCTGTTTTCTTACTTGAAAATGGAATGTTAAGAAAAGCATGTTGGACTTACATTACTTCTCATGCTTTCTCTCTCACCCCACATAGTCCATGTGAACTATCCAACCACAAACACCACCACAAAATGGACAACAAGACAGATATACAGTGCTCAGCTTATTCTTACATTCTCCAAAATTCGTGGAATTGATTTCTCTCTCTCTTTCACCCTTGCTCAGTCCAGTCGCAGGAGAAGGTGACATAGCTGTGAATATTAATTTTAACATTTTGCAAAGCTTAATGGATTTTTCTTGTTTATTTCAGTTTAGTCATCACTGATAACAGCTCTGACTCAGCTTCCTTACCTATTATTACAAACATGTTTGCATTTAAGGATTAGAACAGACCCTGTTTTGTCAATTGTTTACATAACTGACAATATCTGATGTGAAAACGAGTTGTCAAAAACATAATATAAATCAATGTAAATAGTTTCAAACTGTGTTTCAGAAAAACCACTGTGAAATGTTTGCTTTTATTGCAAAAAAGCTCAGACTTTAACAGGATACTTATCTGTTTGGATTAGGAAACAAAATCTATACACAGAAGAAAATTACACTGAAAGATTTTCAATAAGATACTGTTTTTAATACTACTTCTAAAATGAAAAGCAACCAGAAGAAACAGAAGGCTTTCTGTTATAAAAAAATTATAAGCCTTTGGAACATTTACTTAAATAAAATAAATACAGCAGTAGGAAAACTAATTTTACTTTATGATGTACAAACATTTATATTCACATGTATGAAGATGGTTGCATTAAGTAACAAAAATGCACTTTTACAAGGTTAAATGTTGTCAGTTATCCCCATTAAATACTAGATATAGGTACAAGTTTGCCAATGTACACATCAATAAAAAATTGTGAAAGTGGGAAACGCAACAATATGTTCTGTTATATCTTTGAGTTGTTCCAGGAGTGATTCTGCACAAGATTCTAGCCCATCAGCAATGCTGGCCTCCTCTATTATCCTCCTTCCTCTGACTCTTTTTTTTCAATTGACGCCTATAGCTATGAAGCATTGTTTACTAGGTTTTTTATTTGTGTGTGTGGGGGGTGGGATATCAGAACAATCCTCTTAAGCTGATATTTAAGAAGGCTCTTCTGTGCTTTTGCAAAGCGCACAGTGCCAGAAATATATTGATATCTCATGTCTTAGTTTTCAGCAATCTTTTAAAAAATCTAATCCTGTCAGGACTCAGCATGCAAGTGCACCATTAGAGGAAGGAATACCTGAACTTACTCCCCTTTTCCTCCCTCAGAATCATCTTGGTGTACTAACCCTACCTGCCACAAAAAATCTCCAGAAACTAAAACATCTTAGTGGCCATGAAGAACATATTGCATTATTTATACTTCAAACTACATTTCATTAATCTAAACAATCATTTTCTACATCACTTAACATATTTAAAATGGTTTTCAAAGAGGCAGATTTATATCTGGCAATCTCAAAGAATCATGATCCCACAACACTGGTTACAGGAAGCACAGCCTTCTCCTATTACAACAGTGTTATTGGCTGCCATTATGTTTCTGGGCCCAATTTAAATTGCTGGTTAAAGTCTCCTATATGGCTTGGGTCCAGGCTATCTGAAGGACTATACCATCTCATTTGAGCTTCCTCGTCTTTCAAGTTCTCTTGGGAGGCCCTTTTGACAGGATGCTTACTGTTTGAGAAGATGCAAGAGTGAGCCGACTCAGAGGCTACTCCTGGGCTTTTGAAAACGTTTTCCCAAGAAGCCAGGTCGCCGTCCACCCCTCTTGTTCTTCAATTCTCAGACAAAGACCTTCCTCTTTTCAGGCAGAGGAAGCTACAAGCTACCTTTTAAGCTACAAGCGGGGTTTCTAAGAATGCTACATTTACTGGCCAAAATCCTGTTGCTTAGTGTAATAAATCCCACTACAGTAGGCCAATTGACTCAATGCAGATTTAGTCAGTCAACTTCTCTAAAAAATTCCCTGATTCATATGGGCCTTCTCTAGTTATGATGTACTATGCTAAAATAGTTTTTGTTAAACGAGCTCCTTGATCCAATATTAGGCACTTGATACACCTGGACAATTTATACTTATTTTAAAGAGCATTCCCAAGGATTTAAAGGCAAATAACCTGCAAAGATCTAAATCTATATTTTCAGGGTAAGAGATAATGCCATGAACACTGTACCACAGAACCATCATCCAAAGTGTGGATCTGAAATAATATGATAATAAGTAGGCTCGGCAACTGTTTTACTCTTGGTGTATAGCAGAGGCATACTTGGACAGTGTGTTCAAATGCTGCCATTTTGAGATCCGGACATAATGTGGGCAAACACTTTATCTCATTTCCCCCAGAATAATTAATGTGTTTTAAAAACTATCTCATCATAATTTCCTGTTACACTGTGCTTACATTTTTCAAGCCTATTTAATAACGGATGAAGGAATTGCTTCATGTTCTTTTACATTTTTCACCCAATTTGCACACAACAAATCTTCACTAAAAATGAAGATCAAACATTAAAAAATACTGCAACATTTTAAAAGCTTTAGAAAGCCTCAACCTATTCTTCTTTGCTTTTAATTAAAACATGCTTAAGCCCTTCAAAGGGGCTCATTAACACATGTGCAATTCAGATTAATTCATTTTTTCATTGCTGTTTTAACAGATGGCCATACATAGGATATGACAGCTTTGCAAAACATGCAGGCAGCTAAACAACAGATTGTCGCAATCCTTGAGAAAGTATAAGATTGTTTGAAAATCATATTTCATGAAATACATTTCTAAGAAACAGGAATCATTGGATTACATTTGCTTATTTTCCTAAAGTTTCCCTTTCTATCTCTGAACATTTGACAATTCTTAAACAAAATTCTGTTTCCTAACAAAGATGCACTAATCACAACAACAGTTGTCTGGTGTGTAAGACAATGTGCCCAAACTTATATTCCCTTTTTAAACATTTTTCAGCTTAACAAATTGAATTCAGAGCCTTCCACATTCACAGAAACTCCCTCTTAGCAGACATATGATTTAAGTAATATGGGGGTACTACAGTATTCTAGATGGCAGTACCTTCCTAGTGACTACTACATTAGAGCTAAATGACACTCAGTGGCATAGTAGTGGTGCTAAATCTCAGATGTGTCTGTTCTGAATAGACACATGGAGTCCATACAGCTGAAGCTGCCTTCCCACATTACAAACACCAACTGACAATCAACAACATCTATGCAGACTGAAGGAGTTTTATGGGCTACAATAGCCAATGGACTCTAAGACAAGACAATAGGGTACTATAGCATATTCAAAAACGAGGGAACAAGAAAAGCCCTTAATGCAAAGTCCACAATCCAGCTGCTGATTTACAACTGTGTAAGGGAAATTCCACAAATCTTGTTAGGAATCTGCGACTTAGTAACAAGGTGCTGGAGGCGTTCTTGGATATGTGTGCACTTGTGGTTGTGCACCCAGAAATACATCCAGTACCTCACTAACGAATGGCAATTTGCTGCCAAGACATACACAACTTCCTTCATACAAGCGTATAACAGCAATAGAATTCTTGTAGCCCAATAAAACATTTTAATAGAATTTGATGAAAATTTGAGAAAGCTATGTGCACAATTCTCTTGTCAAGAAAACCTGAAATAGAAAACAAGAACTTCAATGTCATGGACTCGTGATTATTAACAAATAACTTAGCATTCATATGGGTAACAATGCACATATAAATTATTGCTAATTTATTAACTGGAAGTAAAGATTTTTAAAACTTGATGATCTGAAAAAAATCCCATGTCTACAGTATTTCAATGATTTTGAATTCCTTGATAGTTTTCTCCCTCAGTGTCTTCTGAATTCCTTTCCTATTTTCTTGTTTACCCTACTGTTTCTTTCTCTGTCTTTCTGCCCAGGAAGTAGAAAAACCTTCACAGCAGGCCAGTTCAGTTAACAAGAAGAACGACTTAAAATAGTATGCACAATTCTTTCCAGGTCTGAGAGAAGAGAGCTAACAGGAGAACCAAACAGAGAAAATTTTCAGAGGCGGAAGCCCCGACTTTAATGGCTCACTTGTGCATTTGTTCAAGATATTTTCAAAATTTCTCCATTTACTGCCCCATGAGTTTTTATTAAAACTGACATAAATTGATAGTGCAAGCATGCACACATGGACACACGAGTGCACGCGCGCACACACAGAGTTGAAAAGCAAGAATAAGATCGGATGATATATACCTGCATCAAGGCTGTGTCCTTGACATTATTACCCCCCACACTTTACCAGAGCTATGAAATGAGGTTGGACCTTCACCCCAACAAGCCCCTTATTTCACTGTTTCAAACAATACGCATCTCCAGCTCAAGCTGTTGCCAGGCAACAGAGGTTTCTACTAAGCATGTGCCTCAATAAATATATAACTGTCATCAGCCATAGGCTAAATATCTACATTTTAATAAAATTTACAGATATGTTACATGACTACTAGGCAAACTAGCAGATGGTCCCCTTGATGTAATGTGTACACACACACTTCCCAAAAGGCAAAATACAAGCAAGGAAACCACCTAAATTAACATTCACCAACATCTGCAGAAAACAACTGACAAAAAAATGACAAAGTGCTGGATTTACCTGTAAACCTTAACCCCTATCAAAATAAGATACTTACATTTTCTACCAAAAATTGGTCATGAACCATCTTCAGACCTGCCTGGAAAATATCTTCTAACTAATTGAGTTTCATAGATGCAAACAACAGAAATATTTTTTCTTTAATTTTTGCTGATCTTGGGCTTTAGTATAGTTTTTCAGTGTTCTGAACTGTAATCTGGAATGTGTTCTGTGGCATCAAGCCAGATCTAATTCACAACAATCCTAATAGAGTTTTAAAGGTAAATTAGATATTTAAGTAGTAGTTTTCCAATGATACCATTACAGTGATTTTCCATAGTTGAGCAAGGATTCAAGCCCAGATATCCCGAGTCACCACACAGGGTAATCTAGAATAGTTATGCCAAATTATAAACTGGAATCCCGTTCCACTTGCTTTCTTTTTCTTTTTCATTTTCTTTTTCTTTTCTTTTCTTTTTTTTTTGAAGGAGAATGAAAACTGAGATAACATGACTGACAATGCTACTACACTTTCATCTAGATACATGTGAAAGATGTTTCATCACTCCTGGCACACGAATAAAAATCACGTTCTATCAT